AAAATTGCCAAAAATTCAATTTCTGATGCAATCTTTTTATGCATTACAATTATCTCCATCTCCCTCAGGCATAATTACAATCAACATAAAAATCATTTATTTTGTGTTATATATTTGTAAAAGTATAAAGAATGAGAATAGTCTTTCTCACTTAACTATTCCTTACAAAGATAGATATACTCTTTTCTGTTTTATAATTATTTACTACATATGACATATCATTCATGCTGGTTGCATCTATTTTTGCCATGATAGGTGGCAAGTATTCCAGGCCATGCATGGTTCAGCTTGCTCTATGTTTAGATGTTAAACAGTAGCTAGCTTGTTTGGCCAACCGCAGTCAGTGAGAAGGTACAGCCTTCCAAAGCAGGTTTAAAAGTCTCTTTTTTGCCTCATATTGGTTGACATATCTTCAGTATATATGCTGCAGCTATTGTCAGACAGAAAGGAAAAAATATTTTAATGCCTCTGTGCAGCAAGACAAAGTTCTCTTCACAGGGCTAACGGCCATTATATGCTGTATATCATTAAGGTTTAAGTCCAAAGCCTAAACTCGAGTTTATTAATCTTGTTTGTTTGAAGAAGTGTGTTGCAAGTCTATGAACACGAACAAAATGAAAGAATGCAAGAATTGTTATATCCATCTTTAGTTAAAAATAGACAAATTTGTCAGCTTAGTAGGTGAAAACTTATAACTTTTATCTATTACTTGTTTAAGAAAATATTCAGCACATACAGGAACTAAAAAAGATCTTCAGACTGTAAATCATTACAACTCCCATTCACATCCTTCAATTTGAGAAAATTTAGATTCTTAGAGCATGTTTTTGCTGCTGTTGATATCTGAAAAATCTAAATCACAGATAAACATATGGGCATCTTCTGTATTATTCAAGAAAGTTATCTCCTTTCCTTTGTTTTTATGACAATATCATACTTCTGTCTTCTGCCTTTCAGGAAGACCAAAGTTATGTTTTGGACTACAGGAAAAAATACCATTGCTTTCAAATATTTCAATTTAGACCTTTAAACCTGATATCATTACTAATAAACATTATTTTGAACCCTTGATACCTTGCCTTTGGTTTATTAGATTACCAATTTTAGTATCTTAAATATTTCCCTGGTTTAATAGAAAACTTATTCAGTCTAAATCTACTAGCTACATTATATCATGTACGATTTATAAAAGAACCATTTCTAAGAAATATTACTATATCAATCACATTATTCTACAAAGTGACATGTCTGTTACCTCAAAATTTCCGGAAGATGAATTTTCTCTTTGAACTAGCTATACCCCTGCCAATATAAAGGAAAAAGTGAAAAGTTGTAAACTAACAGGTGAATGCCATATGCTGAGTCCTTCTGTAAATCAAAAATGTATTTTTTACTCATAAATGACCAATATCTATACTTTCAGCCCTTTTTCAAAGTCAAAATCACAGGTTTCTCTTAAAGAGAATGAATAGATATCACCTCTATGTAAAGACTGTGGCAGGAATTTAAAGGAAAAGGACAAAACAATACTTCACTGATTACTGTCCTTTGCCCGAAAAAAGTGAAATATAAGCACGGCTCAATAAAATGTTTATCCGAATTATCTCATAAACAAAAAATATGGCTTAGAAGAACAGCTGAGACAATTATGAGTTACCTACAATTCCTAATATCATGCATATTATTATCATTATCTATCTATCCTTGCTTTTTTACAATACTACCAGTTCTTGCTGGATCAGATCTCTGACCCATTTTGTATGTATTCCTGATGGTTTGCAACTGTAAAGTCAAAGCAAATCAAGCTTTACTAATCAGAAAACTGAAGTAGTAAGGGAAAGGGATATGACTTTTTTACATATTCTCTCAAACCACTTCTGCATAGCATAATCAACCAAACCCCACAAAAAGGGTTTTCATTTAAAGAACACTAAAATTATGCTTGTATGATAAAGTAGTTGACTGGGTTCATCTACTTTGGAAAAATAATGTGCTTTAAAATATTTCCTGAAGCCAAAACCAAATCTTATGATAAGTGCATTCATTGTACATCTGCAACTAATAAATTCTTCAACATCTTAATTTTTTAAAGAAAACTAAAATAATTCCTGAAGTGAACAATCATCTTACAAACTGATATTTAAAGGATAATAATAAAAAAGAAAATTACCAAATTCTCAATCTACAAATACTTGTTTTACTCATTTCCTATGCTAACTGATTTAATATAATCATGTATAAAATCACACAACTATAGGTTTATATCAACTAATAAAGCAAATCTTTCAACTAATAAAGAAGCAAGGTTCATTTCATTCTCTTTGGATCAAGATCAAGGACCTGTACAATCTACATATATCTACAGCTTCTTAATTCGTCTCTGTGTCAAAGAATAAGACAAAAGAAAAGAAAAAAAATCATACTGTCAATCATATACTAACTACAATCACATCCCTCTTAATATCTATATATCTAGTATATGTTGAAAACTACTTAAAAATTGTGCAGCTAATATTTCCATTTTCTCTTTCTTTATTTCTCTTAAATCAGTTTGGTATGATGGCGAGATTTAGGAAAGAAGAAATCTGTAAAAGATGTTTTTGCTTCCTCTCCACAAACACAGTATTATTTTCAAAGATATATTTACAAAATGTGTACAAAGTTTGTAAGATTGTCTAACGTTGATGTTGTCATTTGCAAGAATCAATAAATATTTATATCAATCATCCACAATAACATTCAAAAGATAATATCAATCTCTTTAATTACCAAATTCTAGTATGTGCATAATTTGAGTTATAAAGAGCTCTATAATTTGTATAACCATCTGCTGACCTAAACTCAATATATCATTAAAAGTTCAACTTCACAGTGATGGTGACAATATCTACCGTGAAATAAATCACACAACAATACAAACTAAAGTTGTGAATACAATATCAACAAACAATCTGAACTATAAAAAAGTTGCACCTTTTAACAGGACAATCACATCACAAATAACAACAGTGTAATTTCCACAGCCATAAAAGCAGGATGGTTACTCTAAAGCTGTCTATCTCACAACCACAGATTCAACTTTGGTTTTCAAGATAACACTAAGGCCTCCAAGTTCAACTTGTACACATTAAAAAAAAAATCTCTCCTGTCCAGATACCCAAAACAATAAAAAGCTTACTACATATATGACTACAGTTTATACTTGAGGTAGTAACAAAAAGTGCAGTCAGCAGTTACATAATTCTATATTGGGTTGTTAGTAATATATTTTAGAACTTTTAACATCAACTTTGAACATTCCTTTTACCTTTATATTCATGATTTCCCACAATACATAGATAATTTAGTAGACTTTAATGGCTTAGCAGATAAAAGAACTGGCAACAATCACCTAACATTTTGGATCGGACCTAATTCTTTTCAAAGCAAATCTCATGTTCATCTAAGTCAGCATATGCTAAATCCTTGGAGAAGCCACTATCTGTGCCACAGCAAAGTAGCTAAAAGCTCCAAAACAGCAACTTCAGAACAGTTGACAATCATGCTTCTCAATTTTATACCACCACTTCTGTGTCACAAACAAAACAGTCACATAGAAATGACTTGGGACTTGAAGTGATACATAGAACACATCTAGAAAAAGGCTGTATTGATCAAGGGAATTCTTTTTTAGTATATATGTGTCTGTAGGTTAACATTTGTCCCACTGTTAGCTAATAACATGTATAAAACATACACAATAGAAATTTTCCATATAATGCCTATAATCATGGGACATTTAACAAAGTCTAGATGAAAAGATAGAAGTCTAGAAATGGCAATGCTATCCAGGTGTAGCAGCCTGGGGTGTGCAACAATTATCAGGTGATTACTCTGTCAGTAAAGTTTTACCTCCCCTGCATAAACTATGTATAGATTGTATAGAGTCTATATATAGAGTTTAATCAGTTCCATAAAATCTACTTGCTTTGTTATATATGTTCACCAATTTTAATCACCTCTGGGGTCCTTATTCTTTATATTTTTCATGTTCCCAATTTCAAAGATTCTTATGTGTAAGAAAACAAAAACTGTGATCAGAGATATGAATCTATCAACTACTTAACTATGGAAATGGGGTATGGATTCTCTGTCAAGTTAGCTGACTTTATTGTCTTTATCAAAACTTCTAAAAATCACTCATATTCTGAAGAATAGATATATACACATATATAACATAAGACAATATTTAAACCACTAAATCAGTCATTCAATCCATATTCTAGTTTCTAATCATTCTTGAGTATTGTTGTTAGGACATTTACCACTGTATTAAACAAACCTCCATTTCTAAAAACACCTTTTTATACATAATGTTCCCCTTTCCATATCTTTGTATTCATTCCTTCTTTCCCTTTCTCTTTCCTTGCGACTTTGTAGAGGACCCTGTAGAGATAAAAGTACTTTCATAAACAAAAGTTACTATATATTAGTATGTAAATAGTATAATAAATAATTCAAACTTATATTAAAAAAAATATTCTAAAAGCTCCCTCTCCCACCCTCTCCCCTCTCCTCTCTCTTACTTTCCCAATAGTATATGATCATTACTTTGTTTTTGTTTCATTTTTACTTACCCCAAATCTTGTTATGCAGTTTGGGTCCTAAATGAACAAAGAGAAGATTGGGCAACAGTAGTGCAGCAAGGAAAATGGTTCTGCCTTTCATATCCAGGACTTCAAACACAGGGTAGACCCAGAAACCAGCTGCATAAGCAATGTAGCAAATCCTGAAACAAAAATCATTATCTGCTGTTCATTTATATGGAGGGGTGGGGTTATCATTACTACTTTCAACCATAGAGAGAGTGCTGTCAAATTTATTTTCTGAAAAAGATGTTTGATTATGGGACAGAACTATATTGGAAGTAGCATTGAAATACATTGGGTAATATCATATGTGATAACTCTGGAAATGCTGTATATACTGATGCAAAATTCACCTTCTGTTGATAAGCAAATTCATTGTCCTACAAACTGTTGATTTAATGAACTAAGAGAGGCTGCAAATTTCTTAAACTTACCATGACAGATAGAGAAAGTATGCCACTAGGATAGGATAATACATCTTGATTCCCTTTTGGAAACAGTGGCACACTGAGTATAACTCTGCGATGGCACCAATAGCTGGAAGTGTGTGCATAATATGGTTCAACCACCCTGGGAACCATGAGTCAAGTGATGCAGGAAAGATGAGCTCACGATCAACAGCATACAGTGCCCAGAATATGCAAGACACAAACTGTGGAAAAAATAATCATAATAGTACTGTCTCTATTGAGAAACTCTTCCATTTTCTTTCTTCTGATCTTAATCATCAACTAAAGAAGTCTTAGCATTCTAAAATAAACTCTTACAAATTAGATAAATATAAACAAATAAGCAAAACTCCTAGTGTTCAATGCTTTTTTCATTATGTTTAGCTATATACTGTTGCTACAGCATGAAAATTTAAATGATCTTAATGAAAATAATCATCCTTTTGAATAATCACCAATATGAAATGAGAATAACAAATGCTCTCTGCAACTCAACAAAGATTTATCATTATTACTTAATAATTTTTACCTTCATAGATTCAGAACTTTTTTTTTTCTTAACAGAAAACCTTGGGAAAAGGTTGAAAAGCGAAAAATGCTTCTTAAGAAAAAGATACATTGCAAAGGGGAGGCAAGGAGTCTTGATACCACACATAAAAGATTGTGTGGGCCTGGCCTACAACCCACATTCCCGTGAATCACAACTCAAGTAGACCTAAGCCTATTGCCCTGATTTGTCAACACACAGGCAACATGGCAACAAGATCCAATGGGTTAATGTAACTATTTTATTGAATGTGGTCATTAACATCAGAACATCAATGATAAATTGAGTGCTTCATCAACAAAAAGCTTTTTCATATAATTATTTAGAAATGATTATAAATTCAAGCACTGTAAGCACTGTCCTCACAAATAAGAAAGAGCATCACTGGAAGTGGCATGATGTGCATAAAAATAAAATCTCAAATAAATGACAAACATTGCATACTTATCCCTTACCACTCCCATAGGCAATACTAGAGTTGTGAAGAGCCAGTCACGTAACCTCTGTAGCAAACTTCTCCGTGCATAAACTGGTGATTCTGAGCCTATGAAGTCGTTCAGGACACACAGTCCAAAGAAGCCACATTGTAGAAGCTGTAATATGGGAAGATTTTAAAACTTTTGTTGAAAAAACATTCAGTTCTAAAAAATGAGTGAAATTACTCTTCCTGAAACATATAGTAATGAAAATCATACTGAGTATAAATTGTTTCAATGACTAATAAATACATTAATAAAATATTGTCCATCTCTATTATGGATATCCTTACCAAGTCAAGATGTGTAAGATATTTACATCTTCCACCAATATTGTTTCTATGTAACTCTGCTCTTGAACCAGATGGGGCCACATTATAGGCATCATAATAAATACCATAAAAATACACAGTCACTAAAGACACATGGAAAAGTGTAAGCTTAATGCTCATGTTTTGGAGTTAAAATTCTTCCTGAAATATATGGAAATTTTTAAAGATACTAAACTGTTTGTTAGAAACAGACGAGAGCCTTCACCCATTAAACCAAGCTTCAAGGCCTTTCACAAGAAGAAACATTGGTTGCAAGTTGGCATGTTTTCTTTATCATGCTTAGTAATCTAATCTTTGATGACTGAACTGATAAACTTTGCTTTCTTTAAAAAATAAAATGTTTAATTTTCATTTCAAGTTTGAAGAAAAATATACAGCACTACAAAAATAAAAGACCAATTCAGTTCCCAGGGAAGCTAATTTCACCTAACCTCCATAGTCTATAAATAAAAAATCAAACCTCAAAATCTGGCACACAACTTCCCACACACAAGTAGCCTAAGCATTAATCCCTTTGCCACAAATGGACTCTCGAATTCCGGATACATCTATGGGTTGAAACCCCAAATGGCTCCCAAGTAATACTAATACAGCAGCAGAAAAGGCAAGAAAGAGATTAAAAGGCTTATCATGAAACAACACTTGAAAGTCATATAGTTATACGATCTCTTGATAACAATTTTGAGTTCAAAGGTGAAAGGCTTGTGCCTTATCTTTATCATAATTTTCCCTATCTCCACTCAGACACCACACAAAAAGCAGCACCTAATACTACTCTTGGTAATATTGTGAATGTTTAATATCAGCATTGGGTATATGTATACATATGTATATAGGTATATACATATAGATAGACAGATAGATATATAGACAGATAGATAGATATTTAGATAGATATATGGAGATACATAGATATAAATACATACATACATACATACATACACATATATGTATGTATATATAAACACATAAGGAATACAATGTATATAATGTATATACATTGTATGCATTACATTTATTTTATACAATATATATATTCTATACATTTTAAACACTTCATATATATTA